GTGTCGCGTTCAACTTGAGCAGCGGTCTAAAACAGTTTATTTAATCACCAAATGGACACAAGTTTACTTCAAGAATTAACAATTTGGCATAGATGAGTTTGAAGTTCGGTGTTTAAAAAACGGAGCAAACGGAAAGAGAAAGCGCGACCTATATTATAGCTCTATAAATGAAGCACACAAGACTTTATTCGAGTCACAGAAAGACAAACGTTTTGCTGAAAATGCACAATACACAATTCATTATGTACATTAACAACGATTCGGGACCAATATAATGTAATTTAAAGGAAAACTATGTGAACGGCGCTCTGTGGCGCGGCAGGATTTTCTGTCGGCTGAAGTTTCCCGCTCTGTTCAGCGTGCAGTATCACGTGTCTAAACAAATAGCACGTGCTGTCAGTGGTTTCCTTAGGAGTAGGACACATGAGATTGCATTTTCATTGTGATACCTCGTGATAATTGTAGCAAAATGCAGTGTGAATTTCAAAATGCATTCTGAGTCAAATGTGCAGCGAAATGGTTGCAAAAATGGTGATTTAAATGTCATTTATTTTTCTTAAATGCATTGACACTTACACTTAAGACGTTTCAATTGCATTTTCATGAAATACCCTGCGATCAGTGTAGACTAGTCAATGTGGATTTGAAAATGCATTCCGAGCCGATCACGCCCCCAACCTGTCAATCATTACATCAAGGCGGGGCTCGGCAACAAGACGCACAACAGGTCAATATTCCCCATTAACCAAACGCTTTTCACCTGCCTCAACATCTCTCACTGTTTACACCTCGATTGAGGCACATAAGCAGATAAGCACATAAGCAATTCTAGACTTATTTACTTGCCACCTTACACTGTGGCTACACCGGACGCGATAGTTGTCGTGTCGCATCGTGCCGTATCCAGTGTAGACAGCATCGCTGATTATAATGGGTTCAATACTGTCATTTGTCGCACCGCTCGCGTCCGGTGTAGACACGGTGTTGCCTTCCTCTCTTCTAACCCATAATACAGCGTACGTCCCGTGGCACCTAAGCGTCACGCATGCCTGAAAGAAGAAAGTCATATACACCTAGGATGGCTCGAGGGTGAGTAAAACACAGGCTAATTTTCATTTTTGGGTGAATTAACCCTTTAAGATCTCTCGGTCTGTTTACACTCTGGTTGATGCCTGTGACCCAGGACTCCAGACTCACTCTTCCCACTGGTCGTTCTTTTGTGACTAACTTTGTCAGTTGGTCGCACGGGAACACGTTTTTTTTTTTTTTTTTTTTCAAAAAAATGGGTTT